GGAACTGGACAGGTCACTAGGATGCATGTGATTCACCTGACCACTGTGTTGTTTTGATTTTCTAGTGCCCAAGGTTGAAGCCATAAAGAATAGACTGGGCTCCCTGGCTGATGAGTTTAAAGAGCTTGTCTACCCACCTGGCTACAATCCTGAGGGAAAAGCTACCAAGAGAAAACAAGGTGAGGGGCTGGGTCTAAGTGTACAGCATGTTCCTTTAAAAAGTACCTCAAGGTTGTTATGGTCTTACCATAGAGAACTTACTTTCTTACTTTTCATTTTTTTGGGGGGGGGGTGACAAGTATACTGGGAGTCAAAGTCAGAATTGCACATCTGCAAGTGAGCACTGTATCACTGAGTTACATCCCAGCCTTTTCAGGAATTTGTATACATGGGGGTGGTGGGGCATAGTGTTAGAATATGTGCGTAGAAATTTCTGTACAAATGTGCATACTTCAACACAAATGGAGAGTACTTACACTGTCTCTCTCTCTGTATGTGTGCGTGAGTGTGAGTGTTTTGGGGGGCAGAGTATGGACACATGCAAGCTGTGGCATGTGTGTGGAGCCCAGAGAACGATTTTCCCTTTTATTTATGCCAATTCCAGGGATCAATCAGGTTTACTTGGCAAATACTGGGATCTGATGAGCCATTCACCAGCACTCTACCTTGTTAAAACTTTTTTAAAAAAGATTCATTTTATTACTTTGAGTGTTTTGCACCATCTATATGTCTGGTGCCTCCAGAGGTCAGAAGAGTGTTGATACATTCTTGACCTGGAACAGTTCTCTTGGAACTGGAGTTACAGGTGGTCAGGACCCATGTAGGTTCTGGGAACCAAACCCTAGTAAGTCTTTTGCAAGAAAGAGTACAAAGTGTTCTTAACCCTTAAGCCATTTCTAGCCCCTCTCCCTTACTTTTAAAACTAGGCTGATGAGATGGCTCAACCAGTGGCCATTTGCCCTATGTAACCTGAGTTCCCTTCCTGGGACCCCAATAAAGATGGGGTAAAGAACTGATCCTACAAAAATTGTTCTCTTATATCTACACACGTCCTCCTGGGTACTGGGAACATAGGCATGGATCATCACACTGGCTTCTATGCTCTGAACAATCTTGTACTTTACATCCATTATCTAAATTTTCTAAGATTTATTTGTGTTTATTTTGTCTGCACATCTGCACACTAGAGAGCACATCAGAACCCATGGGACTACAGATAGTTATGAGCTGTAATGTCGGTGCTGGGAATTGAACTCAGGCCCTCTGAAGGAGCAGCCAGTGCTCTTAACTGATGAGCCATCTCTCCACCCCCTGATTATCTAAATTTCCACAAAGAAAATGGCAAAGAGAATGTACTACTTTGATGTATGGATCTGAGGTCAAGAGTGTAGTCTCAGTGTCCCCCTCTCCCCTTATCTGTTCTTGGAACTGACCATTTTTCTTATAGGACAGCCCTTTTTATTGCTGACGGACCCCCAAGTTTTCTTTACTTTTATAAATGTGAAGCTCACATTTATAACTATTTTGGAATGGTTTGGGTTTAGGTTTTAATCCTTTTGGCTGCCTTTGGCTAAGTAAAGCCATATTTAAGCCTTGTTGCCTAGTAGACCCATGAGGACTGGTGTATCGAGATATTGGTGGCCATCCTGATTGCTCCATTTTGTTTCAGAACCAACTCCTTATGCTCTAGAAGATGCTGCCAGAGCTTGGCAGACATTGTCTGTGGTTTACCAATGAATTTGTCACTTGCCCTGTTTTTATTGCCTGGTGCCTTAGAACTTATGTTTTTTCTTTTCTTGAGACAGGGTTTCTCTGTGGCTTTGGAGGCTGTCCTGGAACTAGCTTTTGTAGACCAGGCTGGTCTTGAACTCAGAGATCAGCTTTGCCTTTGCCTCCCGAGTGCTGGGACTAAAAGCATGTGCCATCACCGCCTGGCAAGATGTTTTTTTTTTTTTCTTACACCTTGGATTTTCTGGCATTTAAGCCAGGGCCTTAAGCATGCTAGGCAAGTACTTCATTGCTATGCCATATTTCCAGCTCCTGGAAATTTTTGTAAAAGAAAAAGTGATAGGCTCACACAGAATGAGCAGCTGTTTTAGGTAAGCAGAGTCCTGTGTCATGTAGCTGGGATACCACTGGAAGAATTTCTAGGTTGCTCCTTTCCTGCCTTTTCTCTAGATGATGAAGGTTCTGCAAGTAAAAAGCCCAAGGTGGAGTTATCAGAAGAAGAGCTGAAGGCTCATTTTGCGAAGGGCACACTGGGCAAGCTCACTGTGCCTACACTGAAGGAGGTCTGCAAGGCCTATGGGCTTAAGAGTGGACCAAAGAAGCAGGAACTGCTAGATGCTCTCACCAGACACTTCCAGAAGAACTGATTGAAGGGCACACTCCCAGCCACTTCCTACATTGCGACCAGGCTTATGTTTTCACCAAGTTAGTTTCTTAGCTACAGAGAACTGCCTGACAGAAGTGCAAAGTTCTTACCTCATCGTGGAGAGTGCAGCCCTACCACTTTGCTGTGCCTTATTTGAATAAAGAGCTCTAACTTTATACTGTGTACTGTTCAGTATGAATGGGTATGTAGCTGCCTCCAACCCAGAGGTTACCCTAATTGGCTCTTAGCTTAATTTTGTCCCCTATGAAGTACATATCAAAGTGCAAACAAACATCTTATAGGAGGTTGGGGAAGAGTGACATTGATGGATAAGTGGTCATACAGGTACTTCTGAGTGACAAGCTTTAGCAAGATTGTATTTCCATATGCCTCCCCCCACGCACACACCTATTTTCTTGTGTATGATGCGGGGCTGGAGAGATGGCTTAGCAATTAAGGGTACTTGTTGCTCTTGCAGAAGATGGAGGTTTGTTTCCTACCACCCACATAGTGGTTCACAACCATCTGTAACTCCACTTCTAGTTGATCTAATACCTTCTTCTGACCTCCATGGGCACTGAACATTTACATGGTGAATGTACACACATGCAAGCAAAACACAAATAAAATTAGGTCAAATTCTTTTGGATCCTGGTTAACAAAGAAACTTACAAAGACAGCACTCCCTGAAATCTCAATCCACAAATCCCCAGTTTCTTGGGATGATGACTGACTGGCCTGGGGAGGCAAACGAGCCCTTAGCATATGGGTCTCAGCTGCCTTTGTCTTCAAGTGTGCTTTCTGCTGGAGTGGGAATATAGGAGGAAAATGAACATAATCTATTGTCATTCATCTGACTTCTGTGGTAGTTATTTGCAGTGGGAAAGAGTTTTTAAATTAAAAGTATTGTTTGTGTGATACAGGTATAAAGCACAAGAGGCAGGAGAGGTGGTTGTGATTCAGTTTCCAACACTAATTCCACATGTGCCCAATGGACTGCCAATAGTAATTTCCAGCTGTGGGTAATTTTGTTCTCAGGGCATGTTTGATTAATTAATCATTTCTGGAAGGGAGTGGTGGCATGCTACTGCCATCTAGTGTGCAGAGGCCTGCAAGGCAGCCCTACAAATGGGTTTTATTAGGAAATCCTGTTCTAGACTGGTAATACTTCAGTGAGTCTGTACAAGAGAATTTTGAATTACTAGGAAACTCATGTAGTAGGCAATAACTTTACACAGCCTTTAAAAGAAAGAAATAGGCCATTAATCCCAGCAATAGAGAGGCAGTGGCAAGAGTATCTCTGTGATACTCCGTTTGAGGCCAGCCTGGTCTACAAAGTGAGTTCCAGGTCAGGCTCCATAGCTACAGAGAAACCGTCTTGAAAAAAACCAAACAAAAAATTATTTTTATCTTTATGTGCTTTGGTGTTTTGTCTGTATGTGTGAGGGTATTGGACCATGGCCTTATAGACAGTTATGAACCGCCATGTGGGTGACGGAGCCATCTCTCTAGCCAGTCTCCCCACCCCCCATTAAGACAGAGTTTCTGTGTAGACCAGGCCTGCCAATGCCTCCAGAGTGCTGGGATTAAAGGTGCATGCCACCTTCGCCTGGCTCTATGTGGCCTCAGTGAAATTAAGGCTGGAGGTAGGTGTGTGCTTGCTACTTAGTACGTGGCACCTAGTGAAACAACAGCTGGGCTGGGAACGGTAAGAGTACTTCAAAAGCCCTGAGCTTGATCCCCAACACCAACACACATATCAAAACAAAATGGTAGTGCATATCTGTAGTTACAGCATGGGAGATGGAAGTGGGGGATCTCTTGAGAACTCAGGTCAGTCTGTCTATACACCCAGAACATTTCTCAAGATTCCCCCACCCCCATGTCTCAACTACCCTAGAAATGCTAAGCATATTCAAATATTAGCTGATAAAACTGAAAATCAGGCACTGATGCCACATTTCATTAAAATATGGACATATTTCTTTTTTAGTATGCTCAAGAATGAACATTATTTTCACTTTCTTCATGTAATAGACAATACATTCGACCCATGTTGTAGGAGGAAAAGGATAAGGGCTACGAAAGTGAGTGTCAAATAGCTTCACAAGAAATCCCCATTCAACCAAGGACAGAATGTTCCTGATAGCATTGTCTCTGCTGTAAGCTCCAGCCCTAAAATCCTTTGTTCCAGCATGAATTGACTATTTTGTTCTTGCTACTCTTCAAGATCCAAGCACTCACTCACCTAGGCTGCCTCTGAGTCTGCAGACCATCCCTTTGGATTGTTACTGCCTTGATACCCTCAATAGGGAGTGGGGTGAGAATAAAAGGTTACACACAAAAAACACATTAATAAATGGCACTACACTCAATATCATCAAACTTCCTCTTCAAATGATGGTGGGCGGGCATAAGGGGACCAGTGCTAATATCATCTTACCCTGCACAGAGGAATGAGTTCGAAGATGAAAGTAGACACTATCCCTGGCTTGAGTTTTTCCTGTTCTACCTCTCACCTATCTTAGGTATCATTTCATTTTTTTTTTTTTTTTGAAAAGATGAAAAAATGGTAGAAGAGAAGATGAGGACAAAACAACCCTATAAGACAATAAAAATACAAAAACCAGATGTAGTACAATATTTATAATAGAAACTGGCTGAAAACACTACATGCTAACAGACAATATGATACACAAGTAGGATGGGGACAGACAGGAAAGGGCAGGCCACAGGCCTACACCAAGAGCCTTTCAATGGACTGCTGAATGGACTGGATCTGCTGCTTTAGCTGAGAGCCTTCTTTGATGGTAACAGAACAGGCGATGACAGGTCTGGATACCCCACAGGCCCGTCCTAGGGCTTGCTTGGAGCGTACAAATACATAGGGGACATTCTTGTCTTCACATAGTAATGGGAGGTGCAGGATGATCTCCAAGGGCTCAGCATCTGCTGCCATCACAATGAACTCAGAGATGCCCCTGTTGAGGGTTTTGGTAGCTGTTGAGACAGGACATGAAGCCAACAGATAACATGGGGCTTGGGCAGAGCAGTCACAGTTAAAGCAAGGAAAAAAAAAACAGTTACAAGGAAATGGGCAAAATGCTTAGGAACAAGCCAGGTAACATGGCACACACCTTTAATCTCAGCAGTTGGGAGGCAGATCTCCAAGTCTGAGGCCAGCCTGGTCTACGCAGTGAGTTCTAGGACATAGTGAGACCCTGTCTCAAAAAATAGGGGTGCAGAAAAAGTAATTTTCTGCCTGGAGTAGCCCTGTAATGTAATAAGGCACCCAGACCCTGAACAATTACTTAATCCTTAATGTCTTTCTCACCCAGTCAGCATTACAGGGTTTCTCTGTATTGCTTTGGAGCCTGTCCTGAACTAGCTCTGTGGACCATGCTGGATTCAACTCAAGAGACCCGCCTACCTCTGCCTCCCAAGTGCTGGGATTAAAGGCCTTGCCACCAATGCCCGTTGCTTCTACAGTTTTTTATTGGTCAGTAAAGAATGCACTTTTAGCCCAACTATTTAGGACACTGAGGCAGGAGGACTGCTCAGGTTGGGGAGTTTGATGCCACCCTGGGAACACAATACCTGCTCCCACAAACTAAAATGGAAAGTGGAGGAGGGTGAGGGAGAGCGAAAAGAAAATATTTAGCCCCTCTTCCAAACTAGAACTCCAGGAGATCCCTGTTGAAAACAGGGACCCTGTGATTAGTAGTCTTACCTTCATTGGCTCCTTTCCGAAGCTGCTTGTAGTTACAGGACTGCTGAACAAGGTCCAGCAGCTTCTTGGTGAGGTGGGCATCTGCGAGGGGATAGGCCTTCGGATTCACATCAGCCTCCGTCTATAATGAAAACAAAAATCAAAATGGAACATAAGGTTTTTCAGATAAATTACAAAATATTTAACAACAACCTAGACAATGACCAGCTTGGATTCCCCCTGCAAAAGACTGGAGAAATGAAACAAAAACCCAATTAAGTACAGACAGAACATGTTTACTAACACAGGCCTGACTACTCTAAATGTTATCTTTTGGACTCCAAAAGAGCAATCATATACACACACTCCCCCACATACATACTCATAATTACAAAATGAAAAAAATTTGTTTTAGAGACAGGGTTTCTCTGTGTAGTCCCCCGCAGGCTTGGCATACCTTTAGTCCCAGTACTTGGGAGGTAGAGGCAGGTGGATCTTTTTGTGAGTTTGCAGCCAGCCTGGTCTACAGAGGGAGTTCCAGGACAGGCTCCAAAGCTACAGAGAAACCCTGCCTTGAAAAACATGAAGCAAAAACAAAAAACAGAAAAAACAAGACAAAACCTTAAATATAGCTTACATACTTTTATCCACATCTCCCAACAAACTCACAGGTAAAGATTTCCTACCAAAACCACCCAACATCATACTCAAAAGCTATTCAACCTGTGTTATTAATATATAATTGTTTGTAATGATTATTTAAAAATCCTTTCATTTTATTTTTCAAACATAAAAAACCTTACTCAAAACTCAAATTATGCTATGCAGGCCCTGATGTGCCTCAGCAGGAACACTTCTCAGCACAGGGCAGGGAACTAGGATGGAGATAGACAATATACTATGCTACCATTATCATGAAGTACTTTGAAAACTGACAAAGGGAAACAGACAGGCACCTACACTATCTTTCCTACTTCAAGTAGGCAAGTTTCACTTACACTAACAATATTTATAAATCAATGCAATCTGAACCAATTCAAATTGAAAAGTGCATTGCTATGAATTTGTACTGCTGCTCTACAAGTAAAGTTTGAAAGGATCAATTCAGTTTTTGTCAAATGATGTATTGTTTAATTTTAGAATTCAATGGGTCCTGGTGGCAAACTCTAATCCCAGCACATGGCAAAGAGAAAGGTGGATCTCTATGAATTTCTAGGCTAGCCTGGTCTACTGAGTGAGTTCCAGGAAAGCCTCTAAAGCCTGTCTTGAAAAACATAAAATCCTAAAACTTGTTAGGCATGGTGGTGTGGATACTTTTATCCCATCTAGAGACTAAGAAGCAGGAGGATCTCTGAGATCCAGGCCAGCCAGAGTTACAAAGAGAGATCCTGTCTCAAAACAAAAACACACACAGCAAACCCACAGGTTTTTATCCTTTGGCAAAGACCATTCAGGGCCTGTTAGACGGTACTTGCCTCCAACTTGAATTTGATTTTCAGTTCCTACATGGTGGAGAGAATCGACTCTCCAATTTGCCTTCTAATCCTACATGCACATCCATACATGCCTTTAATCCCAATACTCAGGATGCAGAGGCATGTGGTTGATCTCTTCAAGTTTGGGGCCAGCAAGGACTACAGAAGACTTTCAAACAAAAAAGTGTGTGTGTGGTTGTTTAGACTTGGGAGGAATTAACTTGTAAGGAAAGGAATATATTCCAATAGGTTTCCTTATCTACTGTTATTATCTACCAAGTTTTGATGATGGTCAAGGACACAGTGAACTTGCCTCAAAAAAAAAAAAAAAAAAAAAAAAAAACTATTCAATTCTACTTGAAACCAATGCACTTTAGGGCACGAAGAACTGGAACACTTAGACTCTATACTTTTAAGTATGAAACCATAGTGGGTTCAAATCTTCATCCTGTGTTGTTGGGTGTCCTGTTTCCTCTCTTTGAATTTATTACTGTGAAAACTATTTTCCCCTCCACATTTATTTATTCATTCATTTATCTATCTTCCTCCATCAAACTTGCTAGGTTGCATAGGCTGTCCCCGAATTCCTGGGCTCAAATGATACTTTCAAATAATTGAAACTCCCAACTGCATGCTGAGCTTTAACTCCACGTTCTCAAATGTTAGAAAACAATTCAAAAGTTAGACCACTGTATTTCATAATATTTTTGTGATGCTGGCAATTGAATTCAAGATCTTGAGAATGCTAGCTAAGCACTAACCTGTTATTATCAGCCTACACCTTTTTTGAGACAGGCTTGCTATACAGCCCAGGCTAGCCAACTTGAATCCCTAGCTAGACCAAACTGGTCTCCTCATATACCTGACAGTCTGATTTTGACTTAGCAAATATAGGCATACATAACCTAACAATGTCCAACTAGCTTTGGTGGTGGCACATATCTGTAATCCCGGCACTCTGGAGGCTGAGACAGGAGGATCTCGAGTCCATAACCAAAAAGCACCAGTCCTTAAGGTGTGATTGCACTGCAAGTATTAGAGCTAATGATCCCCATTTCACAGCCGATGCAAACTGCTAAGAAGTTCAACCTAAGAGCACAGGTTTCAAAACTTTCCACTAGTTCAGTATTGACTTAGGGGCTTTCTCAAACTAGACACAAAGCCAATTATTAAACCTCGGAGGTGGGGGCTCGAAAGTTATCAAAGCAGAGAACCAAAGTGCTTGATTAAATTTCACTACAGACATCAAAGGGCTCGGCCAAACTCATTCCTCCTTACCAAATTCCAATCCCAACTAGTTACAACAGGAAACACGACCTGAAACCCTCGCTCTGCCATTAAAGTGGAGGCGATGTAGCGTTATCGTCACGTGTTGCTACCAGAACCTCAGTTTCCGAGGCGTCGATCCCACGGTAGGGGTCTTTGTTGAGTCTCCCTGACTCCCAAATTAAAAAAAAAAAAAAAAAAACAAAAACAAAAAACCCTTAATCGTGAGGACGCACGCCTTTAATCCGGAGGCAGAGTTAGACGGCTCTGAGACTTTGAGGCCAGCCTGGTTTACGTAGCGAGTTTCAAGCAAACCAGGGCTACATATTGAGTCCCTTAAAAGAAAAAAAAGGCCCCTGAATTCCTAAGCCGTGTTAGTTCCCGACAGACAGTAGGTGCAGCCTCCACGGTGCGACTCTCCTGAACTCCGGGCGTGGGGAAGGGGTGGGTAGTACATGACTATCCCGTGATTCCACGCCATCTTCTAGAGATTGTTTGGAAAGGAAAAAAAAAAAAAAAAAAAAGGAAAGGGAATGGAGACCGAGTTTTTCATAAAGCTCCACCATTCCACGTGGGGCGGTCATTTTCCCACGTTGCGCATGCCTCTCCCCCTAGCCACGCCCACCGCTGCAAAGCCGATCCGGCTACAGCGACCCCGGCTCTCCGGTCCAGAGTTCTCCGCTCTGCCACCAGTGACCACACCGCTGGAGCCCGAGTTCTAAGCCGGAACCCGAGGTCGGCCATCGCGGGCTTGGCGAGATGGCGCACGCGCTTCGCCTCCCACAGACGGGGCGAACAGAAGCCCGCGTCTCCCGCTTCCCGCGCCCGCAGCCCCACGCGCTCACTCACCATGGCTGTGGTGCGCCGGCCTCGCCGCGATCCGAGGACACCTCACCTCAGTCAGACCGAAACGCCGCACAAAAAGAGGAGCGGAAGTAACTTCCTGCGCGGGAGGAAGCGGAAGTGATGTCACTCCGAGCGTGCAGTGACGTCGCCCCGCCCCCTTCCCACAGGGAGCAAGGACTGAAATTGCCTTTGAACTGGGCTGTGATGGTGCAGTTCTTTAATCCCAGCAGAAGAGGTGGAGCTCTGAGTTCAAGGCCAGGCTGGTCTACAGAGCGAGTTCCAAGACAGGCTCCAAAGCTACACAGAGAAACTCTGTTTCGATAAAACAAAACAACAACAAAAAAGAAATCGTCTTTGGGTGAGGGGATGTGTTTTACTGGTTTTATTAGCATCCTAGGATGACTTTGCCAAAACTGTGAGTTAAACATTCGAAAAGTGACACACCTATACAAAGGGCTTCAAGGGTCACCATTTTAATGCCCCTCCCCCCTTTTTTTGTTTCTGTGTTTGTTTTCTCTGTGTAGCCCTGGCTGTTCAGGCACTCTCTGTAGACCTGGCTGGTCTGGAACTCACAGAGATCTGCTTGCCTCTGCCTCTTGAGTGCTGGGATTAAAGGCGTGCGTCACCACCGCTCTGCCATTGCCTGGTACTTTTTTGAGCATGTCATGTACCCTTGGAAAATCGCCTTCTCCAGGCCTGAGCTGGTGGACTGCCTGTCACCTAGCACTTGAAAAATGAGACAGGAGAATAAGTTTGAGGCCAGCCTTGGGTTACATGAAACCTTGTCTTCCTCCTCAAGAAAACAAAACAAAAACTCAACTCTCTAACCTCTCAGTGTTAAGACAAATTGCAAGGGAATATTTTCTTCCTCTTGAGATCTGCCTCATCAATGTTTCTGGAGGGGCGTGGAGTTAGAATGCACTTAGGTGATTTCTACAGTAGGTTTGGAGTAGGGTTTTAATTACTGAATGGCAGTGAGGTTGTGTTTGGTGTCTTAATAATAACACACCTTTCTTCAGCCCAGCACCTTGGCTCCTCCCCCTTCTTTTCTTCGAAGCAGGGTTTCTCCGTGTAACAGCTCTGGCTATCCTGAAACTTGCTTTGTAGACTAGGCTGGCCTCTAACAGATCTCTACTTGCCTCTATCTCTCCGAAGTACTGGGATTGAAGGGTGGGTCATCACCACCCTGCATGCTTTCCCCTTTCTTATGCCTCACTAAAACTCCGTTTTTAAAAGATAAATTCTCTTTTTTTGTTTGTTTTGTTTTGTTGTTGTTGTTTTTTGTTTAGAATTTGCTTTGTAGACCAGGCTGGCCTGGAACTCACAGAGATCCACCTGTAAAAGGAATTCTTGTTTAGGACTTGTTCTTCAAGGTCCTCAGTGATCCTCATTTTTTTCCAACATGGTGCCACACACATTTGGGGCCATTTAAATCTAGCCAAGATCATACCATGCAATTCCAGTTCATTGCTTCAGAGGTGTAGAAGTTGAGACCTGAGGAGATCTTTAAGAACCATGCAAAAATAGTTTCTCACTTTTACAGACAGAGAACAAATGCCGAGAAAGGGAAGCTTGCCCACCATGGAGTAAAACAGAGCTAAAGCTAAAACTGGGCTGTGAGAATTTTAGCTATTGACCTGGCTTGTTTTCATCACATGTGGCTATGTGAGTACTGTTAGGGGATCAGGCAACTGGAAGGATTCAAACTGCCTGTAAGAGTGAACATTTACTGAGTCTGGAGAGACGGTTCACTGGTTAAGCACACTGGTTGCTCTTCCATAGGATTCTATTCCCAGATCCCACATGGCAACTAACAACTGTTTATGACTCCAGTTCTGGGGAATCCAACTCTTCTACCCTCCACAAGCACAGTGATGCACAGACTTATATTCAGGCAAACACTCATACACATGAAATAAATCCTTTTAAAAAAGTGAATATGGAAACCGGATGGTGATGGCTCACTCCTTTAATCCCAGCACTCTGGAGGTGGAGGCAGGTGGATCTCTGAGTTCCAAGCCAGCCTGATCTACAGAATGGGTTCCAGTACATCCAGGGCCACAAGGAGAAACCTTGTCTCTGAAAACCAAGTAAATAAATAAAATGATAATAACAACAATAATAAGAGTGAATATCAAATTAGATCATTCCAAACACTAAACGTTATCTTGTACAAATCTGATAAGGCTTGTTAAAAGGAAACAAAACAAAAACCATCTCTAAACAAGTCCGAAGAATACCTGCTGATTGACATGGACTCTGCTCATCATCTCTGTTGGATGTTGTTTTATATCTCTGACTTATAGCTCACCACTTCACAGATATCTCCCTAGTAGTGACTGATTAATTTTATTTGCTTCTTCTTAATAGGATATGTTAATATATATAATGAGTTGGTTAGTTTGGTTAGGTTTTTGACAAAGGCCCACACTAGCTGGAGCTGGTTTGAACTTGTAGCAGTCCTTCCAACTTTGATTCCTTCTACAGTGGGTAGTGATCAATTAGCTCTGCCTTGCAGGAAAACTCATATGTAGGTCAATCTGTCTCTGAACTCACAGAGATCCACTTGTCTCTGCCTCCTGAGTGCTGAGTAGTGCTGGCTTGTGTAGCCTGACTTTCTTTGAACTGCCAGCTCCAAAATAATGACATGGAGACTTATTAAGTATGAAAGCTTGACCTTATTTTAGACTTATTCCCAACTAGCTGTTATAACTTAAATTAGCCTATTTATATTAATCTACATTCTTCCATGTGGCTCATTACTGCTCCTCCATACTGCATGTTCAACTGTAGGAACTACTGTATATTCAGCTCTTTATTAAAACAATCAGAAGGTGCCTTGGCAGGCAACGTAAAACAGCGACACATCTTCACAGTATACAAGAAGATTATCTCACAACAGGCCTGTTCAACCATGCATTTGTGTGTATGTATGGTTTCTCAAAACATACTTTTTCTGTGTAACAGCCCTGGCAGTCCTTTAATTCACTTTGTAGACCAGACTAGCCTCCAATTTACAAATATCCATCTGCCTCTGTTTCCCAAGTGCTGGGATTAAAGGCTTGCACCATCACTGCCATGCTATGCATCATTTTTCTTTATTATGAACCCAATGGGTTTCATTAGCATTGTGTATAGTAACATGCATACCTCACCAGCAGCTACAATACCAAAGGAAATGTCTCTCTTTAATTTTGGATGTTTTGTTTTAGGATGAGGCTTATGTTACCCAGGCTGCCCATGAACTCCCAATTCTTTTGCCCCCACCTCTAAAGTGCTGGAATGATAGGCATTTGTGCTACCACTTCTGGCAGGACATGGTATTTTTATGACCATAAGTAGTGAGTCAGTACATCATACCTAATTATCTAGTTAATTTATTCCCTGGGGTTTTTTCAGAATTATCTTGTCCTTTCTTGTTGTTTGTTTCTTTAACAACTAAATAAGTACTGACATATCCTGGAGACCAATTTATTTTAGAAATTTGTCCTAAATACTTGCCATGGCTGGTCTTTTATCTACAATTCTGTCCCCTACCCTCAGGTTATAGTCTTACCTACCTTTTGCTTTACTGAGCACATGCCAATTTATTATCATTCCTGTTGATCACTGTCTTGTTCAGAATATGCTATAGGCTGAATATGGCTTATTTTCCTGAATTTATACAGAAGTTTGATTCTTAAAATCATGATGATAGTATTAAGAGGAGCCAATATCCTAAACCTATCATTACAACACTCAGGAGGTGGAAGAAAGAAATTTGGAAATCTGGTCATCCTCATTCATCCTAATGAATTTGAGGCCAGCCTGGGCCAGCCTTGTCTCAGAAAAACAAAACAAAAGGTATTACTATGAGGGTGGGCCACAACCTGATTTTAGGATTTAAAGGTGGGGTCCTTGGGAAGTAATTAGGATTAGATTAACCACTAGATAAGAGTGAGCCTTCACGACTGAATCCTGATAGATTAATTTATTCATCTTATTTAAGGTGTTTTGTTTGCTTGTTTTTGAGACAGAGTCTCATTATGTAGCCCTGGCTGGCTTGGAACTCACCAGAGAGGCCTAGAAGTCCCTACGTACACCAGGATGACTTGAACTGATAGAAATCCACTTGCCTCTGCCTCCTGAATGCTGGGATTAAAGATTTGTGGTGTTATGTGGTGCTAGGAACCCAACCTAGGTCCTGTTCACGAGCAGCAAGTACTCTTAAGTGCTGAGCCATCATGCTGGGCAGTGGTGGTGCACACCTTTACTTCTAGCACTCCTGAGACAGAGGCAGTTGTATCTCTGAGAGTTCAAGGCCAGCCTGGTCTATAGATCAAGTTCCAGCACTGGTTCTAAGGACAAGGTTTCTATAACCTTGTCTCAAAAAACAAAAACAAAAACAAAAACAAACAAACAAACAAAAAATGCTGCACCATCTGTCCAGACCCCAGGGATTTTTGTTTGGGTTTGCTTGGTTTTTTTACTTTTACTTATTTTTTGTTTGTTTGTTTTTGAGACAGGATCTCACTGTAGATCACTGGCCTAGAACTCACTATGTAGCCTAGCCTGGCCTCAAATTCAGTGATCCTTACTCAGCTTGCCACTGCTGGGTTTACAAGCATAAGTCACTATGGCTACTTTGACATTCTGCCAACAAGAAAGCTATGAGTGGATGAGGACCTTTAACTTTGTACCTTTAGAACTATGAACCAACACAAACTTTTTCTTTTTTAATTTTATTTTTATTTTATGTGCATTGGTGTTTTACCATGGGTGTCAGGTCCCCTGGAACTGGAGCTACAGTTATGAGCTGACATGTGGGTGCTGGGAATTGAACCTGGTTCTCTCAAAAAGCAGTCAGTGCTCTTAGCCCCTGAGCCATCTCTCCAGCCCACAAACTTTTTCAAAGAAGCCTGTCTGGGTATTTCACTATAGAAATATAACACAAAGTGATTTACTTTGCTCAGCTAACATTTATTTAGTGCCTCTTCATTGGAACCTTGACTCCTTGACCAAGTAATTGTTTCTGCTAGATAGAATTATAGCCTTTTAGCACTTGCTGTTTGGATCATTTGTTGACTTTATAGTTATTCAGTGTCCAATGCTGCAAGTGCACTGAGAGCTTTGCCCTGGCCCTTTTGAATCCCTTTCTTCTGGTACCATGCCTGGCCTACAGGAGGAACTTGTTTCACTAGGGTTCTTTGGTGACAGCAACAAAAAAAAAAAAAAAAAAGGATTTTGGACAAAGAGTCTGGTAGCACTCACCCAAGGGGAGCTAGCTTGAGAACAAGCAGTCCTGATCTCATTGAATTATCAGTGTTCTCCAGCCAAAGAGCACTAAGAATATACCTCTAATGCTACTGCTTGTTCCAACAAGAGAACATAATCCACAGGAAACTGTGGCCCATGTTCTTAATCCCAGCACTAGGGAGGGAGAGGCAGGTGGATGTCTGTTTGGGGCCAATCTATTCTACAAAGTAAGTTCCAGGACAGCCAGGACTACACCTTGCCTAAAAGTGATGACATTAGAAAAGCTTTGCTATAAGATTTAAATTTATTTTTTAAACGTTGGAGAGGGTTACTTGCTACCAGGAAGATGGATTTTTTTTCTATGGTTGGGCAGGTTACATCACTCTATCATTCATGCCAGGCAGGAAGGTGATCTCTTTACTCCAGAGTATAGAAAGGCTTAAACAGAGCACAAGTGGAGATGCCCAGCACATTCTACTGCAGCCTTCCTCCTCCCCAGAGTTCTCTTTTCTCAGGGCCAGTATTTCTCTAGACAGTTCTGTGACTTAATCATCCTTATTGTTGCCTAGACACTACTTCCAAGGTCACCTCTGTTTCAGAGAAGACCCCACAAAGCAGCGCAGAAAGCCTTATTGTATTCTTTAACTATTTATTTAATAAAGTAAAGGCCTGGTGACTTGTGCCTGTAATCCCAGCACTAAGGAAGCTGAGACAGAAGGATTGTTGTGAGTTTGAGGTCAGCCTGGGTTACCCAATGATTTCCAAGCCAGAAATTTCAGAAAAGCAAATGTAGGAGAGGGGAGGGGGAAAAAGGGAGAGGAGAGGACAGTGAGTGATTTGGAGATACAGTTTTTCAAGAACCTTGTGTGATATGATGGAGCCTGGCCTAGGTAGTTTTGTACCTAGGGTCCTCTTACCAACTTATTCAGGCTAGTTATGGTGGTGTACACCTTTAATTCCAACACCCCAGAGGCAGGTAAATCTCTATGAGTTCAATGTCAGCCTGGCTTGTGTAGCTTGTTCTAGATCAGCTAGGGCTAGGTAGTGACACCCTGTCTCAAAGAAAAAAAATGCCTGTATTCCCATCACTCAGTTTGAGGCAGGAGGATCGATGTGAATTTGAGGACAGCCTGAGCTATTTAGAAAGGTCTCAAAACCAAGGAACAGGAACAAAACATTCAATGAGTCCTTACCAATCATAGTTATCCTGCTATGCTGCAAGAACCATTAGAAGCCATTCCTTCTGTCCAAATGCATCTAACAACCTATCAACGAGGCAAGCTTTTAGTATACCACTGAGTGTTACGAGTAGTTTTCCCACCAGCCTGGTCCCAGAGCTGCATCAGCCCCAAATAACACACAGAAATGCTGTATTAGATAAAAAGCTGTTGGCCTGGCAAGGGTACCCGGGGCGAGTTTGCATGGAGGCAGCAGCTGTGGTCACCACAGTTCCAGCTCATTCTCCGCGATGTTGCCCTTGGCCAAAAACGCACTAAGTCGTCTCCAAGTTCGAAGCATTCAGCAAGTGGTGGCAAGGCAGAGCCACCAGAAGTGGACACCAAATTTCCATGACAAATACGGAAATGCTATATTAGCAGCTGGAGGCCTCTTCTGTATTTCTACATGGACATATACAGCAACACAAATTGGAATAGAATGGGACCTGTCCCCTGTTGGCAGAGTCACCCCAAAGGAATGGAGAAATCAATAGTCATGCCATCTGGTACAATAATCAAGGAATTGTTGCAAAACCAACATAAGTGATGCCAAGTCAAAGAATCATGTATTCACTAAAATATGGCACATTGAAGAAAAAAATAAAATACTTTTGAAACCTTCAAAAAAAAAAAAAAAAAAAAAGCTGTTGGCCTGTTCCTCGTGGCCTTATCTTACCAGAGAGAGGGTCCAGACCTTCTCTCAAGTCCCTACATCTTGACCCTCCTCACTACTTCTCCCAGAATCCTTCTTGTCTCCTAGACCCACCTATCTTGCTTTCCTATTGGCCAACAAGGTTTTATTCATTTACAGAATGACATCTCTCATCAACTGAGCTCCTTTAAAAGTTCTCTGCCTAGTCATCATTTCCATGAGGGGCCAAGGGATCACCCTAACCTATCAGTCTCTACCTGGGCACAGAATTTTTTCCCCCCTGGAGACAGGACTGTAGCTTTTGGAGCCTATTCTGGAACTCTCTCTGTAGACCAGGCTGGCCTTGAACTCACAGAGATCCACCTGTCTCTGTCTCCTAAGTGTTGGGATAAAAGGTATGCACCACCACTGCCTGACTGGACTGGGCACAGGTTTATGATCCTGAGTTATAGATGAGACTTCCCTCGTTGTCTTTGGTGACAGCTTTATAACCAAAGTCAGGGAAAGCTGAGCAGGTCTGATTTGTACCCAGCCTGTTATTTAGCCATTTGTCCACATGGGGGCATAACACACCACCAGCTCCTGTCTGAGGCTAGTCTGCCTGGGAGAGGTTTCCTCTACCCAGGGCCTGCTAGCCAGAACTATTAGCTAGAGCTGAAAGTGCAGCAATACAGGCTCCTTTGTGAGGCGGCCTCAGTGACAGAGGTACTATGAAGTAAGGAATACCCCACCCCAAACTGACTGAGCCAGTTACACCAGTGTTTCCTTCCCACTCCCCAAAACACCATCTACCTGACCTAAGCTTTGCCATGTTGCTACCACTTCTGGGAGCCTGTGCTGTGGTGGGTCCATTCCAGGGCCCTGAGTGGGAGCCAGTAAGGGACCTATTGCCTCAGGATCGAAGCTGCAGGGATCCCCGGTGCTGTGGTAATCTACTTGTTTTCTGCCTCTTTCTGATCTGGCAGATCCAACAGTATTGGTACCGGGTCTTCAGGACCAGCAAGAAGAACGCCACCAAGGTAAAGGGGCCATTTCTTAGCATTACAATCATTAGTCACTGCTACATGGACCCTGTTCTGTGTCTTGTGTATCAAAGGTCAACAAAAGAGCTTTGGCTGGTCGGTCTGTATAATCACTGTCTAGTCAGCACCTAAGCCTTAAACCCAGGAGTCACTCCAGACTCATCCCTACCCCTCACTCCATACATTTAATCCATTTACAAGGTTTAGGAGCCCTGCATACAATCCATAAGTTATAGCTGATGACTTCTGGATACTTCACTACACTACCCAGGCAGAGCCACCAGCATGTAGCTCTGGACCATAGTAATAACAGCTGCCTGCATCTACCTAGTGTAATCTCCTTTCTCCAAAAAAAAAAAAAAAAAAAAAAAAAAAAAAGCTATAATATGTACACACAAATACATGTGTATAAATCAGCAAACTTTTACAAGCCAAACACACCCATGTGTACCACCCACACTAAGAAACACCATCAGGGGTGATCAGGATGACTCAGTAAGAGGAATTGCTGCTAAGCCCAATGACCTGACTTTGATCCCCAGAACCCACGTGGTGGAAAGAGAAAAACAATTCCCACAAATTGTCTTTTGACCACACTTATCCTACGGCATGGACACGTAGGTTTGTGTGTGTGGTGGTTGGTACAAGCCTGTAATCCCAACATTTAGGAAGCAGAGACAGGGAGACTGTCCTAAGTTTGAAGCCATCCTGGTCTACATATCTAATTCCCAGCCAACCAGGGCTACATAACTCTGTTTTGAAAGATATAAAAGGAAATATAAAAGAAACAAACCATCACATTAGGAGTTGATTAGTGATAGAATGTTTGTTAGCTTGTACAAGGCCTTGGCTTCAAACACTAGCAATGAAAACAGGAATGAGGCTGGGCGTGGGCTATATCCCTTTAATTCCAGCACCCAGAGGCAGAGGCAGGAAGATCTCTGAGTTATATAGTTCCAAGACAGCCAGGGCTACATAGAGAGACCCTGTTTCAAAAATAAATCAATAAATAAATGTGCCTGTAATCCCAGCACTCAGGGCAAATAATGCTGACCAGGAGGAGTGAGTACTAGACTCTGTTTCAAGGCTTGCCCCCCCCACCTCCCACCAAGCAACAAATAAAAGGACCACCCCTCAAAAAACCTGGATCAAGACTCAAGTACTAGAAGAGTCTCCGACTAAAAATAGGCCTGAAGTCCCAAAATGTGCACTCATAACCACTGACTGCTGATAGTGCAGACCTGTGTCTTGCACGGCAAGTATTCTACATTGACCTTCCATCCAACACTGTGAGCCAGACAGATGTTAAAACTCTCCACTACATAAAACCTTGTACTCCCTTTGTGAGTGCACTCCCTACAAAACTCAACAAAACCAAAACTTTTCCCTCAATTCCAAGGCCTGAGAGGATCTAGCCTGCACCTGTCTGTGATCTCATCTCCTAGGGTTCTTCTTGTTGCTGGTTGTGTTCTGATCACATGGGTGCTCCTCTTTCTTCCTGGTTCCTGCTTCTTCTGTTGCTATGCTATTGAACAGCATTAAGTTCTCACTGAGCGTCTTTGCTGCTCCTGTGGACATACTCTTTGCTTGTTCTGTTACCAGGGTCTTTACACTTAGGTCTCCTCTGCCTATAGTACTCTTGCCCCTTGACTTGCCCCTAACTTCATTCAGTTTTCAGCCAGATATCACTGCCTCTGAGAGGCCTTCTTTGACTATTCTGTTGGAGTTAACTCCAGTCCCTTATTTGCATTTATTTACATTTAACTGCTTTTTTTTGGGTAATAACATGGATTTTTGTTTTAAGGTAGGGTCTCATATAGCCCAGGCTGGCCTCTAATTTCAAGGATGACCTTGAACTTCTGATCCTCCTTTGTCTACTTTCTGAGTGTAGAGATTATTGGAGTGGATTCTTTCCATGCTAGGCACTGACTCTATGAACTGAGCCACATCCCTAGCCCGACAGTTATGTATTTGGTTATTGTCTTCTCTGTGTCTAGAATATAGCTCCCAGTAGGGACTTCGTCTTATTCACATTGGTACCCAACACATGGAATGGTGCCTGGCTCAGAGCACTCTCTCAGTTTTTCTGAGTGAATGAATGCAGTTTGCTGAGGGGAAGTTCCCGCTCCTCACTTAGCACAAGCACCTTCACCCCATTAGTCAGATCTGTAAGGAATATAGGAGATAATTTGTATGCTAGAGCTTTGCTTATCAGTCTTTACTTTACAGGTGCCACCGCAGACATGGGCAGTGTCATCCACCAGATGTAGAACTTTCTTTGGGATGATTCCTGAATTCTTTACTCATGGAAAAATCAGGGACCTGGATGTTCCTGTCCAACAATGGACACAGAAGCAGAGATGGGGATACAGAAAGAGCCTCAGACAACAATGGGCCACCCAGTACCTACTGTCTCCACAGAACACATGCCAAGGCCTCTCTTGGGTTGTCCACACCCCTTCTGAGCCAATGTTTTTTACTTCTTCCTTTTCAAGCACTTGTCTTCTCCCTCAGAACAATTCTTGGGACATATGGCAGGTCCCCTGGTATCCCAACAATAATCAGGTCCACCCTTCCCTGGAAATATGCCAAAGAATAGAACAGTTGCGGGCTCCCTCCCAGGAGGAGTTGGTGCCAGTAGAGCCTGTTAGCCTGAAGTACAACTCCACCTCCACAGCTTTAGCCATCTCTCCCCCAAACTTCCCTTTTGTTCGGAGGTCAAAGTTCTGCCTCAGAGGGTTTCTGCCTGGTCCTCTTAACCAACAATTGGAACCATCCACCAAGAAGTCCCTGGAGAGCCAACAGGATCCCTTAGAACCACAGAGTAAAACCCAGACAGTAGGCAAAGGATATAGTGACGACACCCCACAATATACAAACAAGAGAGAGAGCAGAAGGGAAGTTGCTTCAGAAATACAAGCATTCCTCCCAATAGACTTTGGAGTAGAGAAGGTTGGAGAGGCTAAGGTCCTGGGCTGTGGAAACCAGAGACTAGTAAGGGAAACTGATGGAGAGATCTCAATGCCATGGTGGGAGAAGCAAGACCAAATGGGAATTGAAGATAGAGAACAAACCGAGAAAGTATGGAAGAAAACCCAGAGGGAGCCTGGAAATAAGAATCCTTCTACCCAGGCTTCTATGGGAGAGAATCAAGAACAGTTCAGATGTAAAACTGACATAGCAACTCAGACACCAGAATGGGGGAACCAGGAGGATGCTATGGAGATTCTGGCACTGGAGAAGGAGAATGAGAAAGAAGTCAGAGGGAAGGAAGAGGCAGAGGCCCAGGACCAAGGATTAGAAACACAAAGCTGGACTGGAAGCAAGAATAGTGAGAATTCCCAAATGCTAAATCAGGGGATGCAAGACCAGATCAGAAATAATACTGGTACAGAAACAGAGGCAGAGGACGGAAGAAACAAGGGTCAGAATGGAAGTGAGGATGGTGTGAGGGAGAACCTGAGAGAAGTCAAACCAGAGGGCCATGAAGAGATCCAGGCCCTAGAGAAGGAGAATCAGGGATGTGTAAGAACTCAGAACGAGGTCCAGACTCCAGCAGGGGAGATGAGAGGGCAGATTGGAAATGGATATGTCAGGAAGACCCAAGCATCTGAGAAAGAGGACCAGAATCTGTCAGGACACGGAGTTCAAGTGGGGATAAAGAAGCTCAGGGAGATAAGAGAAGAGGACTGGGTGGTGCTTCAGGCACAGTGGTGGGGAAACCAGAGACTAGTGCTGGCTGCAGTTGACAGAGGAGGACTCAAGATATCATGTTGGGGAAATCAGGAGGAGGTTGGAGGGGAACACAGTGCAGAAATTCAGTCACTGGAGAGTGACCGAGGACAAGGTGGAGGTGGTGGGACAAATAACCTGACACCTGAGGCTGAGAATCAGGGTCAAGAAAGAGGTAAAACTGGTCTGGAGACTTACCCAGTAGGGAGCAAGAGGGAGGATAGGACTGACCAGGAAAGTGGGATGGAGAAGCTGGTATTTGGGGAGAGAAACCTGAGGGGGGCTCAAGGTAAGGATGAAGCAAGGACCCAGAAACTTGGGGAAGAAGATCAGGATCAGTTAGGAAATGAATTTCATAAGAAGATTCACATACCAAAATGGAAGAATCAGGAAGAGACTAGAGGCAACAATAGTATAAATATGCAGACATCTGAGGCAGAGAACTGGGAAGAAATAACAAGTAAAAGCATTGATGGTTCAACCTATGCAGCAGGGCACAAGGAGGCAGAGAAGGCTTGGGGTGAGGATGGCACAGAAGTTCTAATACAAGGGATGAGACTCCCGGGAGGAGCTGGAGGACAGGAAGAAAGAGAGACCAAGGCAGCCATGGAAGAAAGCCAGAGCTGGTTAGGAAGTGACATGGGCACAAACACCCTCTTGTCAGAGTTAAATAACCAGAAGTGGGTAGGAAGTGAGGATGGAAGAGAAGTTCAGGCCCCAGAGAAGAAAATCCAGGGAGAACCTGGAGATGATGATGTAAAGAAGACCCAGAGGCCTGAGATCAAGAACCAGGGACAATTTACTGAGACTGAGGGAAACCGTCCTACAAGGTGGAGGAGCTGGGAGCAGACTAGAGAGGAGAAAGTTTCAGCAAATGGGGCATTGGAGAAGGAAAACCGGAGCAAGGCTAGATGTGAGGATGGTAGAAAGATCCAGAGAGCCAGGAGAAAGGATCAGAGAGTGTTAAGTAAAGTTAATGGAAAGACCTACTTGTTAGAGTGGAAGATTCAGCAAAAATTCAGAGATGGGAATGATGCAGAAATTCAAAACCATGGGAAGAGAAATATGAGAAATTTCACAGGTGATGGTGGCCCAGAGACCCAAGCCTCAGTGGGAGAGAACCAGAAGCAGTCAGTGTGTGAAACGGATGGAAAGATTCACACACGGGGCCAAAGAATCCAGAGCAAGGGTAGAGATGCTGCTGCAGAAATCCAGGATGTAGGGGCCCAGAGAAAATGCAGAGCTGAGGATTCTGAACCATCTCATATACGGAGGAGAGGAGACAAGGGCCAAGTCAGAAGAAAGGATGCTGTCAGGCCCAGTCTCCAAGTTGACTCTTCTGCAAGAGTGAGGCCCAGAGACAGGAAGTACAGCTTGGCCCAGCCTACTTCTCTCATTTTTAGGCACAAGCACCCAGTAGCTGGAAATGGTGTGGACTCTGTTCCCTGTCCTGAAGAACATCTAAGAAGCCAAGGCACAGTCCCTGTCCCGAAGCACAGAGGTAGGGTCAATGAAAGCTCCCAGAGGGCCCAACCTGGCACTCAAAGAAGACAAGAAAGGGATGAAAGGGTGGACCCAGGAAAGGCTTCCAGCCTGACATGCCAACACCCTCACCCACAGTCTCAGGCATCCTCTGTCTTTCCCTCTCTTTTGTGTCCCCAAGTCTCCCAAACTACCCCAGCTCTAGCAAGTGTACCTGTTGTCCTCACCACTCTGGGAAAATGGCCAGCCCTCAAGAAGAGCAAACATCTGCTTCTGGAATCCCTCATGAAGAGAAGGATTGCGCACCTGAGGTGGGGTCTCCCTCGTCGGATCCTAGAGTCTTACTTACTTTTTCACTTCTTAGAATCCTGCTCTTTGCCACTGGCTGGAGTGAGCCTGCCTGGATCACACACAGACCGGGAATGCCAAAGGTCACTGGAACGGCATTGTGAGTCTCAGGGATCCACGTTAGGCCCTGAGTCTCCAGGCAGGTTTCAAAGCCGTCCAATTCTTGAAAGAAAAAGCTCAAAACTTTCTACCCAAGTCCAGGCTCTGGAGAAGTGTAGGCCACTCAAGTCAGAGCCAATGGGCCGGCCCATTCCACCTAAAAAACCCAGGAGAACTAGACCACCTGGGGGAGCAAGAGAACCACAGATCCAAGAGGAGGCCCCTAAGGCCAAGATGCCCGCTCCAATGAATCCTAAGCCAGCAGCAGAGTCCAGGAGCTGGTGTGGCCCAAGACAGGTCCAAGAGCTTCCCACAGAAAGCAGCAGGGGCAGGAAAATGGTCAGGTCTGGAGTCTCCCATGCAGAACACAGAGTTTCCAGCAGAGTGAGGGCCTCATCCTGTACAGAAGGCCACAGCCACCAGAAAAAGGAATGCGTACCCAGGGAGGCCTCTGAGCCCCCCAGACTGAAATGCGAGCAGCCCACACACGGCAGAAGTGCAAACATGGGACCTGCAGAGGGCAGAGGGGCCTGTCAGCCGCCTTCCCCCTGTTCTGCACATACCCCTAGCTTCAAAGAGCATGTTCACTTGGCTGCAGCCAGGCTGAACATGACATTCTTGAGCAAGATGCCATGGTTGCCACAGCCAGCTAAGCCCCAGCACTCAGCCCCTTTTCTTACCCTGAGGAGTTCTACCCCATTTTCTAAAGTGAGTGCCCCATATACAAGGGAGTACAGCACCAGAGTCCACACTGCTTTGGAGAGGGACCCTGAGCCACCAGGACATTTCTGTACAGAGGTAACTGTTCCCAAGACAGAGAGCTACCAGGAACATGAGACACCTGGGAAGTCAAATAGGGCACCCCGAAATCCAGCAGTCTCACAAAGGTTTGGTTTTATGAGGCACTGGAGATATTTTCTCACACAGTGTGGCTTTAAAAAGTAGGCCCAAAGTGCTTAGGACATGTGTCAGAGAAGGCGTGAGAGTGACCTGCTTAGGCCCGGAGCCTCTAATAAAATCGGTTATTTGGATCCTGTAGGGTGGTGGATCCTTTGGTCTGTTGTTCAACTGTTCTCTTTTGGGATCTGGGATACTCTGTGGATAGATATAGATGCCACTTCTACCCTGCAGTTCTGAAGGTTAGCAGAGTGTAGGGCAATCCAGTATTATCTACTACCAACCCCAGCCTTCTTAGCCCCTCTCCTCATGATAGGCTACACTGAGGATTTACCATGGCTTTGTCTTGCTTCCTTCCCAAACTAACCCTGACTGAAGCAGGGTACTCAGCCTCAGTTGTTTGGAGGGTGGGGGAGAGCAAAGAGGTGAGGTCCTGTCATGGCTGAGAAACCATTGAGGGAGAGGGGACAGGATGGTAAAAGACAGAAATGGAGGAAGAACAGAAAAGTGTCTTCTGGAGCTGATGGGACTGCTATCTTTATAAACACACAGCAGTTGTGATTGCCTATACAAGACCTGTGCAAAATTGAGCCAATCAACATCCTAACATGGAGTGAGAAGGGACTGAAGAACCTCTCCACTCCTGGGGACTGTGGATACTTGATGCAGAAGTGGGAGAGTCAGTTTTCTTTAAGGTGTAGCTCTTGATAGGTCAACCACACTCTAACAAATGGTCCTGTACCCAGGAGTTATTCAAAAACAAATCTCAGAGCTAGGAGTTGTGGCTTATGGTGATTTTAATCTAATTAACCCCCATAAGCTCGCCGGTAGTAGCATTACTAGGTGTGGGTTTGTTAGAGTAGGTGTGACCTTGTTGGAGGAAGTGTGTCACTGTGGGGGTGGGCTTTGAGGTCTTTCATATACTTAAGCCATGCCCAGTGTTTCAGACTATTCCCTGTTGCCTGCAAGATGTAGGACTCTCACTTCACCAGCACTATGTCTGCCTGTGCACCACCATGTTCCACCATTATGGTAATGGGCTAGCCCTCTGAAAATGTAAGACATGCCAATTAAATGTTTTTCCTTTGTGAGTGGCCATGGTCATGGCTTCTCTTCACAGCAATAGAAACTCTAAGACAGAAGTTGTGGCTCGAGCATAAATGAGACCTCAAAGCCCACTCCAATAGTGACACACTTCCTCCAACAAGGCCACATCCTCCAACAAAATCCCACCTCCTAATGGTGCCACTCCCTGGGAGCTTGTGGGAGCCTTCACAGTCAAATTGCTACACAGCTCATGTCTTTAATCCCAGCACTGGGGATCTAGAGGCAAGCAGATCTCTGATCTACATCTCTTGATCTACATCACAGATGTTAGTAATTACAGTTCTGGGGCATTCAATGCCTCTTCTGCCCTCACATGGTACCATAGTAGAGTAAGGTAGAAAAGACCAAACATTAGATATTAGATATTGACTTGTCCATTTATTTACTGGTTATTTCTTCTTCCCCTCCTCCTTCTCTTCTTCTTTCTCCTCTTCTTTTTAAAGACTTATTTATGTACTGTTCTGCCTACATGTATGCCTACAGGCCAGAAGGGGGCACCAGGTCTCATTGTAGATGGTTGTGAGCCACCATGTGGTTGCTGGAAAGTGAACACAGGAACTCTGGAAGAGCGTTCAGCCAGTACTCTTAACCTCTGAGCCATCTCTCCAGCTTCTAGTTATTTTCTTAAAGCACAGCTTGTACTGCCTAATTGCCAAGTATTACTTTACTTGCTACCTGGAACAGAATGGCTTGTAGGAATAGTTAAAACAATGGATGGTTGTCCTTAACAACCTGCAGACCTGTCAGGTACATTTCTGTAAAATCTTGCTTGCTGGGTACCCCATCTTGTGGTTTTAGAGTATAAAATAAGAATGCACCTGGGCAGTGGTGGTACATGCCTTTAATCCCAGCACTTAGTGGTTGGGGGCAGAGTCAAACAGATATCTGTGAGTGTGAGGCTAGCCTGGTCTACAGAGTGAGTTCCAGGACAGCCAGGACTGTTTCCCTGAGAAACCCTGTCTCAGAAAAAGAAAAGTGTGGAGGCAGGAGGGTTGAATCCTGGAGTTCTGCTGCCCATGTACAGACTTCATGGACAGACCATCCATACCACTTCAATTCTATAGTATTGCCCACTGTAATTATTTGTTGTATTAGCCCACCATGGGACACCCCAAAGCTAACAGCTTAATCGAGTGTGAATCTTCAGAACCTACGGTGCTTCTTGCCTGGTGCAAGTGCTGTACCACTGAGCTATCTTTAGTCTCTACCTACTTAACTCACTATAAAAACCACCATGTCCATTGAAGAACATTCAGAAAATGCAATCTCAGCATTTGGGAGGTGGAAGCACAAGGATTAGGATTCAAGATTCCTCTACCTGCTTATTTCATAAAAACAATAAAATCCCATAATTCCATCACCTAGTTAAAAATTTCAGTGTGTTTTTGTTTCAACACCACTGCCTGCAGGATGTTCCTGCAGCAATCTCTGTTGGGGAATATTATTTTAAGATGTGTGACTTTTGTTTATGCTGCATTTGTTTATCTCTGTGAAGCTGTTACTGTGCCTGTCTAAAACACCTGTTGGTCCTAATAAAGAGCTGAATGGACAATAGCAAGGCAGGAGCAATGCTGGGGCTGACAGGCAGAGAGCATAAATAGAAGGAGAAAGGAGAGGGAGAAGCAAGAGAACAAGTAGAGGAGGAGTTCAGGGCCAGCCAGCCAGCCAGGGAGTAAGAAGGAAAGAAATACAGAAGAAAGATAAAAGCCTAGACGGTGTGTGTGTGTACCAAAAAGCCAAGCTAAGGCCGGGCACTCATAACTATGAAAAAGCCTCCATGAGTGATTTATTAGGATGGTGGGTGGCAGTCCCCCCACCACCAAAGGGAAAGACTTTTCTACAAATCTCTCCATCTTTACCATATTGAGCACACTGTGGTAAACCTATAAAACAGCTTCCAGGGATCTCTACCTTCTGGTGTCCATGCTTCTGAGATGCCCCCTCCTTGAGTGTGTTTTGACACCTACTGACTTCCAACAATTGAAGTACAGCAGAAATGATGGAGCGGTCCTTCTGTCTCAGTCTCAGGGGAATCAGGAATTTAAAGTCATCCTCGGCTGCATTTCATGTTTGAGACCAGCCTGACCTACACGAGAGCCTAACTCACAAAACAAAAAACAAAACAAAACAGGCTGGAGAGATGGCTCAGGGGTTGAGAGCCTTCTTCCTGCATAGGACCTGGTTTTGGTTCCCGACACCCAAATGTCGGCTCACAAGCCTCCCTAACTCCAGCACCAGGGTAACCTTCTTCTGACCTCTGCGGCTCCAGGCACTCACGTGGTGACATGCAAACACGCCGGCAAATACGCATGCATAAAATTAAATCTAAAAAAAAAAAAAATCAAACCCAAGTAAATAAAGCAGAAATTGATTTTCTTCCCTTCCTTTAAAGCTACTTCCGATGTACTGAGCACCAATTCCTGCCCAGATCTACTCACAGTCCCTTTAGGTTTAGTTGCACGCAATCCACAGTCCTTGCCTGATTATCCCTTCCTAGCTGCTCACTAGCTCAGCTGCAGGAGACACGTGCACGTACACGCACACGCACACGCACGCTACTTCCAAGTGCGCTGGCGCAAAAGCTGAGCGGGAAAACTTGCGCTGCAGAGGCTGAACCTGGAGATAGCTGTGTTGTAGATGAGGGCTGCTCACCATCCCGCGTTTGGGAGAGATGAAGAAGCGGTGCTGCTTCTCGAGAGGACCCATCACCGGCATGATCCACGCTGGCTGCTGCCGGTGTCCCCTCACATCTGCCTGGCCTGCGCACTGGAGCTGCTGCCTGAGCCCGGCGTGTCGGTGCGATCTAAGCCCTCCCCCGAGTTTCTGGCTCGGCCATTTTCCTCACTATCCTCAGCAAGCCAGCTTTTCTAAACCAGGCACACCTTTCCTGAAGTGAAGCCCAAACAAGACACGTTTCCCCAAGGCTCTCCCCTCTCCCGGCTGCAGCGGCCATTGCTGCCCCCATCCTTAGCCTCCCCAGCAACCCACTTCCTCACCCCCCTCCTCCCAGGTCGACCTTTCCTCAGCGGGTCATGCCTGTCACCTGCTGTGTCTCTATCGAGCCTGTCCCTTGGTACACTGAGTCTAGAGGACCCCGGGAACCCCTTACACCTCCAGAGCTCAGCACTGCACCCTCCCTATAGGCTGCCCTCATAGTTTAAATGGCTGCTGTAGTATCTGTGGTTATATTTGGAAATTACAGTTGTGTGAATTCAGAATGACCCTGCCTTGGTTGCTATTGAATATTTCTCTTCATTCACTCAAAGCTGGTGCGCAAGAAGCATGTGGTGTTCTGTTTCCAAGATGCTCTCGTGAGACACACCTCCTTGGTCACGCAGCTGGTAGCTCAGGACCACCGAGTCTGTATTCATTTTGTACGAGTGCTTTTTGGTGAGCTTCAAAGGGAAAACTGGCATGAACTTTGCATGTGTCACATATGTTTTTCCCTTGGAGGACTTGGAAAGATGACTTAGACGTTTTGTATTGTGGCAGTTTATTAGCAAGCTGTTTTGTTATAATCATCACAATATGGCCCCCTTTCTAAACTACACGGATCATTTCATGGTAACTGTCCTTATTAGATTCAAGAGGCCAGTGAAACTGGAATGATAAATATGGGAAGTGGACAAACCCTCTTGTACAGTTGAGGTTCTGCTCAGGACCAGGAGCCTGGAATGGAGTCAGCTCACCTTGGTTGTTTTCCTTCTCATGTGCCTTGGTTTCCTTCCATGTAAAGTGAGGTGGTTCTTTCTGTATATGATTACAATGTCCAGTGGAATGAGTCCTTGAAGGGAGGATGGTTAACATCTTTGAGTGCTTTTCTGTGTTGAGTCTTTCAACTGCTGACATAGACCTTTATGCGAGATAGGATGACCTTTGTAGAAAATAATAGCCAAATTTTTTTTTTTTTTTTTTTTTTTTTTTTTTTTTGCCCTGAGATG